AATCATAATAATAATTTAAATGATGAAAATGTATAACCTATCCCAATCCTGACATAGCTGCGTTTAAACAGCGCAAACATTACTCCTTATAGCTATGCCATATTAGACGGTTCTGTGTGAATAACTGAAGACGCTCCTTTAATGCATTCGCACGTTATATTATTTTAAATCAAACGCCCCATCCATAACCAACCTTAAATCATACCTGAACTCTCTGTTTAACATTTCCAAGTAAACTGTTTTGTGACATTCTCATAAAATCTCTCTGGTTTTGAAAATCTTTGTTCGTAATTGTTCTTAGCCCTGTCAATGTTTATTTATTTAGTATTATTATTATAATATTTCCTCTCCTGTTTCTCTTACGTTTATATTCTTTAGCTGTCAATATAATACTTCGCGTCTATGGAAGAAAGAGTCAATAAAGATAGACAATGTGTAACATCATATTCATCAAAAGACGGTTTATGTGCAAGTAACCGCACCGGTCCGAGCAGGTAACGAGCCAGCATGGGAGACAAGCTCCGATAAGATTGCAGAACAACGTCTGTCCCTGGCTGGATCCGAGGGGTGAGCTTTACGCGATCACCAGCTGGCTTCCGTTACATAAGGGCAAGTATAGATGACTAAAACCTCATGTACTCATTTTACTCATACTTTTTATTATTTATAATGTCCAAGGCATTGATATTAAAATTGAATGCTACTTTTTTGCCTTTATTAGCCTTTTTCTCGCTTGTTTACTGGGTTAAAAATCTTACATTATTTCATCTCCACCTGCTGGTGAAAGCTAGAGCAGCTGGCGATCTTCAATCTGCAATCTATTGCTTCTCCTGCAGTTCCCAGATGTAATGTTGAATTTTATCAGTCGAATTTGATCCACTGAATTTATGGAAGCGAATATTTGAACTGAAATAAAATGAACTGAAAATGACCTTTTGAATATTATACATCGTATTTTTTAAAGGGTATTGAAAATTTTGTAAGTGAAATCTGAAAATTGAATATGAATTATTGAATTTTTAAGTATGAAAACGTGTTTGAAATATTTTTCATTGAAATATTCACAGCTTAAATAAACAGATATGTTAAATTTCAGGACCTAAAAATACAAACCCTGGAATTAAAGTCATTGAAATGCAAGAACTTGTTAATACGGTGTATTATTTTTTTCAGTTTGTGATATTCAACAAGCTTTTTAATTCAAGACTTTAGGCATTGATTTTGTTCCATATAAATCACTGTGAAGACTTTAAAACTTAGGCTATGTTTGACCCAGTATGCATGTCAAAAAGCGGATGAGTCTAAAGCAATGACTGTACAACCGAAATGTTGCCAGACGTCTGATTTTGAGAGGATGGGCCATCCTCTATTTTAACTCCACTCATCTTGGTCTGCTAACTTCACTGCTGCTGCAATCAGAACTCACTTGCGACAGCAGGTGGAACGTAGCTCACGTGCAAACAGCTCAACTAATAAGAGAAAACGGACGTCATATCGTAATCAAATCGTCATAACGCCACGATGCATATTGTGACATTTTTGGATCGCAATAAATCGTACAACGATAAATCGTTACACCCCTACAAATATCTGACTTTAACAATAAGAATAAAGTTCGTTTGGAGTGTTTTGAAAATTATTATTTTTTTCTCCCAGCATTCATTTCGCACCAAGCTGCAGCAAGATGTTCTCTTATGGTGGATGAGAAGGCACATACTATTATAAATGTTGCTTATAATAGGTCATGAAATGAAGTTTTAACAGTTATTTATGCGAGAATATAGTTCTTTAAAACTCAAATCTGTGGTTTGTTTGTAAAGATTGTGTGTAATTTTAAGTGTGTTTTGCTGATAGCGGAGATCTCTGACCTCCAGGCGGTTACGGCGCTAATTACTCATGTATGCGGTGAGAGGTGCTTGTCTTCAGGCTAAACATTGTGCCATTTGCCCCGGCTTCGATGGATCTATATGTGTCAGGAAATTAAGATTTAACCGTTTTTCATGCGAGAATGTAGTTGTTTATATCTAATCTGTGGTTTATTTATACAGATATTTTAAAATATTTTTTCTTTTTAAATTCTGAGATTAGTGACCTCCAGGCAATGACAGGTGCCCTAAATGAATAGTCTAAAGCAGACATTTACCCTGACACTGAAATAGTTTTGGCTGTTTACCAGTCTTTGGTTTCATTAATTAATTACTTTTTATTTCTAGTTTATTATGTTTTAGCTAAGCACAAATTTATGTTCGATAAATATTATAATAATATATTTTATATTTTCATGTTAACCTTATAAAATAAATAAAGTTGCAGTAACTACAACTAAAAAGATCTTAGTAACCAATTTATTTTTGGGGCTGCAATAACATGCTGTTATTTCTAAATATCCAAAAAGTGCCAATACTAGCATAAAAGCTAATTTGTATTACACTCTAAAAACTGCTGGGTTGAAAACAACCCAATTTGGGTTGTTTTGGTAACCCAGCGCTGGGTAAAAAAGGGACAAACCCAATGCTGGGTTACTTTAACCCAGCAAGTTGGGTTACAAGTTTAACCCAGCATGCTGGGTTGTGATTTTAACCCAACTATTAGTTAAAAATTACTACACTGCTGGGTTGAATGTAACCCAAAATGGGTCAGAAATTTAATCTAGAAACTGCTGATTAAAATTACTAAAATAAAAACAATTCTACAGCAATACATAGTTGTTCAGTAATGAAATTTTATTTATGACAAAAGATAAAATGTGTCCAAATGAATTTGAGATTTTTCTCATCTGCACCTCAGCATTAACCCTTTGACTGCCTGCTCTACCAAATGGTTGACCATGTTTTTACTGCTTTAAATAATGACTGTTAAAGTCATAAGAAAAAAGATGATTTAGTGTTCAAAATATTTCTCTTANATATATATATATATATATATATATATATATATATATATATAT